GTACTCAGATTGCAGTGGCAAAGGCCACGTGCCCATAAAAATGGGTTCTCACAGAAATAAGGCTCAACTCTCTATTACTGCTCTCTGTCCTTACCCTGAAAGACAACTCTTTTCCCCATATCAGCCTACCAGTCAGTAAAGGTCATGCAGGTTGTGTGGGAGGTGGTTTTACCTGTCTCAGGCTCAGCTATCAAAATTATACTGTGGCTGCTGAAGTACTCAACCTGCTGTTACCATTACTCGCAAGAAAGCCCTATTCCCTGTTGCTGCTCCTTCCCTCTGGACCACATGTCTGCACAGGAGCAGTGGGTAGGGATGTGTCCTGGCTCTCCCATTCCTGGTCAGGTCCCCACAGCAGGCTCTACCACCTGGCTTCCTCCCATATGCCCTGAGTCTGCCCCCTGTGCTGCCTTTGCTTTCGATGCTTTGATGATAAATGCTTAAAAGAGATTTGGTCTAATGCTCTTTTTTGAGCTAGGTAAGATAGCAGAGATGAGGCAGTGAGTGTGTTAGTTCTGCAGACATGGGATAAAAGAGCTTTTTCATTTGCTTATTTTCCTGTTTAATTAACTAAATGTTCAACTTGTATCTGAATAATTAATCATTTCCTTTCTAAAAAGAGTTTACCAACCATAGCAGAACCACATTTCCATCAGCACCAACCGATACATCACTTATGTCATCGTCATCTAAGTCTCTATGGCCATCTACTGATCTTCCAAAGAATTGGAGCTGTTGTCCAAAAGCAGAATCCGATCCTAAAATTTTCTAGGAAAGAGAGTTTGGTTACTGAGTTTGCCAAAGCATGCTTAAGTCAGTAGATAGCAGCCTAAGCAACAGATTTTCACTGATACTCCCTGTATATACAATGTATTGTTTAAACAAAATGCATTGTGGATGTTTCCTCAGATGCTTTTTAGCACTTCTTCCTCCTCTGTTGGAGCAGACAATGGACTAGATTTTTCTGTCTTGGGAGCAGTATACTGACTGCTGTATGCCAGATAGTACTTACTGGAAACTTCTTCCATCTACACTGAGCAACTCTAAGAATGTGAAGCTTAAGAGGACTTCTAAAAAATACTTTCTGCAACCAGAAAGTCTGCATGGAAAGTGATAGTACTATTACCATTATAGCAGACACATAGATCATTGAAAGACTTTCCCTGGGAGCTGGGATCTATCTAATCTTCATTGCTGTACATCAACCCTAAAAATGTGAATAATGGGTATCAAAAACAAATAGGAAATCAGCTAACTTCAGACTCAGATATAAAAAATGGTAAGAGTTTTAGAGTATCTTGCAAATGCTTTTCGTCTATATGGTTCAGTTATAAGCATGACAACATCAACCTGAGTATGCTGACAGCTGAAGGAAGGAGAGGCACAAAACTTGAAATAAGCCATGAGAATAACTACTCCTTTAAGAGGATGAAACACTACGCAGTTAAACCATAGAAAAATCTTCCTTTTTCCTCTAGCAGATCTAAAGGCACTGATTATTATGCAAAATTATTTACCTGAGAATATTTGGTACGTATAGTCTTTTGAAATCCATTGTAAATATAAATTGCTCCAGAGTTTTGGTTTTCCAGTGGAGCACCTATTACAACATCATTAAAGCCATCCAAATCAATGTCTGCAAGCACTGCAATTGCTGATCCAAAGCGTGCATTTTCTGACCCCTGTGGACCTTCCAAGAGTTCTTGTTGATCCAAAATTCTCTTTAAAAATTGAAAAAGAAGAAAAAGGAAAAACACAGCTATCATTGCACCAGATCAGACATAGGAGCAGTATCTATGTGCATTGTTTTTTTATTTCTGTTTTCCAGTACATTTCCCTTGGACAGCTCAACACTGAATTCCTTCCCCATTGTATTGCCCATTCAGTTTGCATTATGTCTCAAAGTCCTGGCAAGAATTACACAGCAAAATCAAAGCATGCTATGCAAAGTACTAGCAGCAAATATAACCATATGTATGAAGCTTAAATGCTCTCACTGTCCTCATCTGACTGTTCTGAAAGTTTCACAATACATTGAAAAATACAGTTTCCAGTTTTGGATTACCAGTTTTTATGCAGAGGGAATGGAAATTATGTAACTGGACATAATTCTTTGAAACAGAAATGGAATTTCCTTACTAAACTAATGCAAAAAACATGTGTCCAAATGGTAAACTCCTGACCTCTCCAATGCCAGTGAAGAAAGAAAGATTGGAGATCTTTATAGTTAAATAATCCCATTTACACTAGATTAAATGCAACTCTGGCAACAATGTTTTCACCTTTAACATCAGTTATTTCACTGTGCTTAAAATTTTAGAAATATCAGCCAAGTTATTTATTAAACATGACTAGAAAAGTATTACTCGCACAACATGGACAACTTGCAAAAACCACATTCTTCAAAAAAAAAATTTAAAAAATCCGTCATTATTCTTAACTTCCAAATAATTTTAAACTGAACATTTGACAACAACTAAAAGTTGTAAGATAGTCTTCCAATTTATTTGGCTTTCAAAAGACAAGAAAAAAAAACCCTTTCATTTTTCTTTTCTTCCATATTTCATGTCTGATACCACAGTCACAAAGACCATTGTCAGCTACCAGTAGTACCACCTTCAGCTCCTGCATCTACCTTGAAATTGCCCTAGAGTAGTTTCTTGTTGCTTCACGATGGTCTGACTGTGAGATGCTGCTGAAGAGAATGGTCCTCCCTCTCTATTTGATTGAAATCTACCTAGTAAAGAGGCCATGGTCTGTTTTCTCTGATGGATGGCAGATATTAATTTACTTTGCATATCCAGATATCCAGTGATTGAAAGACTGTTCAAAAGTGGCAGAGGGCTCAGGATGTTTAATACAGATATTCTGAAAACACCTACTACGGGTCTGAATAAAAAGCACCGTCAGTCAGGCACGAGACAAATAACACAGCTTCACTGAACAGAGGAGACAACAAGAGTAATAATAACCATCCAATATCAGAGTCTACAAAACAATGCAGAAAACTGGTAGAAGAGCATTTCTTAGAACTGCTTTGGGACTACTGTCAGGTGTTGAACACATTTACCAAAATCAAATGGCAAATTAATTAGCAAAAGCCTTGAGATGGGTTTTTTTGAGATATGGCCAACTCCATGCTATATAAGTGTAAAGCACCTATCACAATGCCTGACACCAGGACCAGGGAGACACTGAGAGCAGGCCCCTGACCACTAACAGTGCCTAGCTACTGCCTTGCTTATTGGCTCCACTTTGGTCTGTTCCATCAGGCTCATCATGGCTAGACTTCGCGAACGAAGATTTGGGAAGGGCTCTACCCACGTTCGTTACAAGCGCGCTGGTGGTGAAAAAGACCAATACGAGACAAGCACGTCCGGTTGCAAAAGGCACAGCAGAAAGACTCCTTAGGTGGTATATTCTGCAAGACACAATTCTTTCTGCATTGTCTTTTCTCCTTGAGAGTGATCCTGTGTGCGTTCTCAAAGGCAACAGCAGTGTTATAGATGGTGTGTCTCCAGACCTCCCGATTTGAGGCCAGAGTAGACCAGTTATGGTTATCAATATGGCCAAGGCTGAGATGTTGTTTCAGAGAGTCTTTGTATCTTCTCTTTGGGGCTCCTCTCTTGTGGTAGCTGGAGGCAAGTTCACCATAAAGCAAGATCTTAGGGAAGCGATGGTCCTTCATCCTGGAGACATGTCCTGCCCAGCGCAGCTGTGTTCTCAGCAACATGGCCTGTTCCATCAGGCTAATTCCCAGATTACATGCACAAGCAGTTCTGGGGAAAGCCTGCAGCTGCTACTGAAAAGCACAACAGGTGAGGTGGCACTGGGAAGGCCTCCACCCATGGTCTTCTAAAGAGTTAGGCTTTGAACCATTCACCCCTGCCCTTATGCCACATTCCAGGAAAAGCACGTGCTCTGTGTCTTATTAGAAAAAATATCACTTGAAATATTTCTAACACTTTGAAAAAATTCACTGAAAGTGACTTAGAGATACTGAAGAGGCCAATGGCCTCTTAGCATGCATGTGGCAGTCTGCTTTGAAAGAAGTTAGCCCTAGGCAATGCCAGCTTGAGCCATTGTTACCTTTGTGACAGAGAACATGTAAACTCTTCCTTCTTCTTTCTTCAGGTCATTCATAAACATTGGTGCACCCACAAGCAGCACATCTGTCACAGAATCCCTGTTGACGTCCACTGAACACACCACACTGCCAAAGTAGGAGCCAATCTGAAATCAGTAATAAATGGGTCAGGATTGTATGTGGACTTTGTAAAACATGTTTTAGCATCTGACTCAGAAAATTTACATCCAGTAATATTCCAATATGACTTAATAAAACTGCCTGTTGATGAATGAAATTACTATATAACATAGTCCAGTGTTTGAAGAATCTTATCTTTACCATGTGTCCACTGTTTCTATCCACTAGCTGCTGCTACGGCTTTACCACTAGGCAATACAAATGCCAACAGAGAGTAAGCTATGGGAGGTATATTTTTTATATCTGTGCACATGAACCTACCCAAGCTTTGATCTACTCTCACACTTGTCTTACAGATGAAACCAAACTCACTGCTCTTCTCCAAATAGACAAAAAGAGATTGAGTTTTCAGATCTCTCTTTTGATGATGTCTACTTCACAACTTCTCAGGCAGAGTGGAGTTCACTGAGTATCTATATCCCAATTAGAATTGTTGACAGAATGATACATTATTTAGCTTTGTACATTATCTTTTACCACTAACTGGTTGCCTTCCTAAAATACTCTTTAAGAGTTACAGTTGACCTTGTTGAAATAGTCTAGTGGCAGAGAAAAACGGATTCTAAATGCTTTGCATAAAAGTGGAATTTTCAAAACAAACTACAATTTACTGCTGGGTCAATAAAAAGAGATGCCTAAAAGTCTGCATTCATGACCAAAATATACTTGCCTGCTCGCCTCTCTGTGACTGCACAATTGCAATGTTACCATCACTGTCAACATCATAAACCACCACTCTGCCAGTGTAGTTGGATCTTGGTGCACCAGCAACAAAATAGATGGAGCTCATAGTTGAGAGAACAGCAACAGAATAACCTGGGGTAGAAGCCAACATTTAACACGTGTGAGAGACCATTAATTACAATTCATCAGTTGGTTATCCATAAAGGTCAGAAGATGAGTCAGTCTGGTATGTTAATCACAGAGAATGATGCTTTCAAGATGGGAAGTTACACAGTCACATATGCATAAAATTTGCAATATAATTCTGGACAGAACAATGACATACAGATCAAGTTGAAACAGGTTTGCAAAACAGAGTGTTTTAGCCTATTCAGTAAAACACAGACCACAGAAATGTCACGCTTGTGAAGGAGATAGGAAAAAAAAGCACAAAGAGTATCTTTGGAAAAAAAGAAGTAAAGAGAAACATGAGATGAACATTTGGGCCAGCCTTCAAACTAGGGAGGAACACCTAGCTTCTGCAAAGCTTGCAGTGCATTTTTCCACAGCTTACCAAACCACAGCCCAGTGCTTTAGCTGAATAGAACAGGCTATATTAATAGCTTGTCAGCTGAAGGGTTGATTGAACTTCTTTTAACATTTTAATCCTCATTACCATTATTCTAACATTATTTGCTTTCAGGAAACATCATTTAATACCTGAAAATATTTTAAACATGTATTAGCACAATAAATCTAGCATTAGTACATACCTCACATTTCTGTGGTTTAATTAGAGCAAATTTATTTTTAACAGTAGAAAACAAAATCGTTCTGTATAAATCCATAGTCAAACTGAATAACAAAATGCCAGTGATTGTACAGAAAATGCAGATCTCTAGTAAGCTGCAGGACAATACGAGGAACAAAATCTAAAAGGATTATGCCTTGATCTTTACATATACCAGTCTACATCATATTTTTGTTCAGACACTGTTTTTCTAGGGTGAGAACATCCTTTGTGACTAGAAGTTCAATGAGCAACAATGAAACATGATTTTATTCTGCAATTTAAGGACACACATTCCTGACTAATATAGCATGCAACCATTTGAAGTGAAAGAGTGCAGTACAGAACAGGGACCAATCTAGCAAGCTGTCATGTGGTAGCACCTCTTAAACTTGTGCTCCCCCAAGCTGGTGAGAGAGAGCTGGTATGGAGAGCTCCTAGCGGGGGACAGAAGGTGGAAGGGAAATGAAAAGACAGAAAAGGCAACAACATTGTTTTCTCCAAAAAAGACTGAAGTAAATACTCTAAAACTGCCATGTAGACAAAGGAAGTGACCTGACCTTTTAAAAACTATTATAAAAAGGAAGTAAGAGAAAGTCTGAAGAGGTCACACGTGAAAAAAAGCTCATTAGGTTGGGTTTAGATTTATTCATTGTTTTGGATTCAAGTAATGCTGAGTCATAGGTGAAAAAAGAGTATGTTAGTTGCAAAAATAGCATCTTATTTAATAACTTCAAGGAAGTCACACGTGTTTAATGTAGTAGCATATTCAGGGATAAATCATCAGAGCAGGCATGTTGAAGGTTTGCAGAAAACATTTCAGTGAACTGAGAATACAAACTGACTGGCTTTACTGGGTCACAAAAATGTGTCAAAGAATACATATGGGAATTATACATAAGACCTCTATTAAATGGTAGCAATATTTCTAAAATTATGAACTGAACTGGGAAAGGCCAAGAAAATAGCAAGCACATATGAAACAACAGCAAGTCAATCAGCTTCTTATCCACATGGAACTGGGGAAGAACATACAAATATAACAGAAAGGACCCATAATGATTCACTAGGCAGTTTTTTCAAATCCTATGATTTATTATGCCTCTGTGACTGTGGTGGTTTTGGTTGGGATATAGTTAATTTTTTTCACAGCAGCTGGTATGGGGCTGTGGTTTGGATATACGCTGGAAATAATGTTGAGAACAGAGAGATGTTTTAGCTGAGAGGGCACACCGCCAGGACAGCTGACCCCAGCTCACCCAAGGGATATCCTATCCCATATAGCATCGAGCTCAGCATGGGAAGGAGGAAGAAGGGGGTATGTTCAGAGTGTTGGTGTTTGTCTTCCCAAGTCACTGTTACATCTCTATCGCAACCCACAAGCTCACTCACTTTTACTGTTCTGACTCTATCCCCCATTCCACCAAGGGCAGAGAATGAGTGGCTGTGTGGTGCTTAGCTGCTGACTGGGGTTAAACCACACCAGTGACACAGTCTGATTTCTTCTCAGTTTACCACATTGATATGAGTAGAATTTAATAACACAATAAAGACATCATTCAATGAACTGTTGTCCAGTAAATTAAATATTTTTCAACTGGAAATTCTTTTCATTTCTCAAATCAGTTCATAACAGGGATATGGCTAGAGGAGAATTTTCCAAGTACTTTTCTATTTTAATTAAGCTTCGATAAATTTCCGAATTTGTATTTCAGCCCCTTACCTAGATATGAGCTATGGTTTCTGTCCTGTAGAATCTTCTCAAACACATGGCTTGGAAAGGTGGTGACTCTGTCTGAAGATTCCTGTACTACTGTTCCACTCCAGTCATAGGCCCCAACAGCACCCAGCAGCAGAACATCCTTTAAAAATAAAAGTCAACATTTTTTAGAAAAATGATTTAGAAAAAGTGTGAGCAAAGCTTAAGTTATCATAGATAATTTTCTATATCACTGTGTTTAAAGCAGTGATGTACAATCCAAAGACTGCAGGTAGTTGACTGGAGCTGCTTATAGTTACCACTTACATGCAGGACTTCACTGCCCTATTAAGAGGGATTATCACCCCTCTCCTGCAAGAGGATAAGTGACCACTCTAGTTCCCATGGCACTGCAACTCAAGATAAAATGAGTTTATTTAAACACAATTTCCTAAGTCTGTCCACCCTGGGGTTGGGCTTGCTAAGGCAATGCTTTTATGCACTCATGATCCTCAGAAGATTGAAGAACATGCAAACAAATCTGTGAGAAAAAGCTAAAGCCCCCCTTTTGACAACAAAAGTGCCAATGACAGCACACAAAAGCTGACAGATACAGGATAGCTGATACAGGACAGATACAAGAAATAGATACAGACTTTCATTCTTTATATGAGGAGATGTTCTTGAGAGAACAGTTAAACCTAAACTCCAAATTAACATGGCTTATTATACAGAATACTTCATACAAAAATACTTAGTCTTAGACTTGTACATAGAAAAAACCCACAGTTTAGTTTATTCAAATTATTAAAATTCTTCACTGAACTGAGATACTGTTATAGAAAACTACAATAAAACTGGATGTGTAATTTTCCTGAAGGAATGTCCTAATGTTTCTTATTTCCTAGCATCAAGTGCTTCATAATTTAAAACTTTAATTTGTGTAAGTACTTGTAAAAATTATTTCATTCATCTTTAAGGGCTATAAAAAAGAAACAACCTTCTCGTGGTTTCACTTGAAAGCTTACTGAACCACACTTGAGTTTTACAAAGAGGACCTATTTGGTCAAGATAATCTTAAAATTTATTAGCATTAAATATATCCGATTTATGTTCTTTCTAATTTCTAAATGAAATACGATTTAAAGAAATATTATTAATTTTATAATTAATAAATTATTTTCACACTTGATTTATTTATATTTTGATGACTTCCAAGAAATATACCAGCCTCACAATATAGTTTCAATTCTTCTGAGTTATTCAACTCCAAGATACAAACACGGAACAATTGATTTTTCCCTGCTACATGAACTCAGAAATCATGGAAATCATTGTATTAACACACTACAAAATCATTAAATGAAAGAAACTGTTATTCAGTGTCACATATTAATATATATTTTTTCATTTTAGAGATATACACCATCTATTAGTGGCATTCAAGTACAGGAAAAATTAAAAGAATAATTTGACATTCACCTGATTGTAAAAAAGATCTTAAAATTAGACAATGTGCTTTATTACTCTTATTTTGTTGCACTCATGTCTACATAATTATATCTACTTGTATCATTAAATAATTATATTCACATACCTTTTTTTGTGAGTAATATGCACTGAAGCCCACCTGTGACATTTCCATTTGGAAAGTATCACCTTGATCCGTACCTGGTAAAACAGATATCCACATGTGGTTAGCCCTTTAGAGCCACACAAGACCCAATCTTACTGCCTGTGAGTTTAGCTGTATACAGACTGTACATATCCACCAATTCTGCTAAAGCATTTACAAACAATGAAAATCAGAGCTGATAAACTATAGAAAATTTGGAGGATTTAACGGGAAATTGATAAAATGGAACCATAATGCTATAAATCCCTTCCCAAAAAAGGCAGAAGATGATGATAAAGATAGTCTGAATCGGCTTGCGCAGTCTTGTCACTGTGGCTAATCTCTTTTTGTGTTTCCTAGGAGGCATTAATAATACACTGAAATTAGCAGCTTAAATGACTTAAATGACAAGTTTCAAACAGAATACGAATGTTTATTGTCATATAGGATTTATAAAAACTGTTGTAATTGTCTTGAAAGATACTGTGACATCTGGGAATATTTCCTAAAGCAGATGGATGGGAATTCAATTCAGGTACTCAGGAAAAACAAGATAAGGAGCTCAACGTATCCTCTTACTTTGACTAGCAGCCATGGGACCAGTAAAGAATAGATCGGGTGACAGAGAAAGGAAGTTCCATCCTGAGTACAGGAAGGCTGCAGCTCATTAAGGAGCAAGGTCTGAATTTAAATTAAAATTTAAAAGCTGGCTTTGGGGGTGACAAAGTGTCTTCAAGTCACCTCTGCAACTCCTTCCTCCAAACAGTACACAAAAGCATGAGTGATGCTAGGGATTGAGCCTGGTAGGCATCACATAGATTGTACTACTGTAGCTTTTCAGTTCCTAAATCAGTAAGCAAGTCTTCTGATTTGTTTTTTAAATTTACAGTTGCTTAGCATTCACAGAGGTGCAGCTGACAAGCATAAAGATGATGGTAATAGTTCCAAATACATTTGGACACATATAGACAAACCCCCATGCCTGAAGCCCATGATGAATTGACAGAAATTTTCATGAACGGGGAAATGTTTTCCGCAAACTGCAAAAACTAACTTGAAGCTCGGGCTTATTAGGGGTGAAGTAGCTGGGAGAACACCTGTGCAAACCAGAGCCTTCCTGGTGAGCAGGGAGTAGCCTGCAGCTCTAGCTGCCTCTCATTTTCACAATCCTACTCTAAGCTGAAGCTAAATAAAATTCTTAGGTTGTCAGCTGGGAGAATCTGATCTAATTTTTCAGAGACATTGAGTATTTTACCTTCTATACTAAAAATGCGCTCTCCAAGTGTTCCTGCTTCTTCCAGCAGTGCAGCCTCAGATGACACATTGAAGAAATATTTGTCTGTTGGATGACTAGCAATTCCCTTGATTTCTTTAATTAAGTTTTTAGTATCAAGTTCATGCCTGATTAAGTATCCCAAAACCTTGGGTAAAAAAACAAACAAACAAACAGCAAAATGAGAAGAGTGAAAAAAATCATACTGTTACCCCATTTCCTTCTGTATTATTTGAGCAAATATTCTACATATTAAAAAAAAGAACCATCTTCATTCATATTACTGAATTGCTTATCAGACTGTATTCCTATGCAAGGGAGCATTCAGACAGGAATAACATATAAAACGTGGCAAAAGAGAAAATTATTTAAGTTGCTCAGGAAACACTAGTCTTGCTCTTTCAGCCAGTAAAGAAGACTAGTATTTCACTAGTTTATAAGGATTAATCTGATTGCATTTCAGTCTCACCAGTGCAACAATGCATGTATTATATAGTGCTTATGCACAGAACATGCTCTTTCATACATGCACAACAAAACAATCTTTAAAAACTGCAATATTATATAATTTTAGTATTACTTACAGCAATGCCAAATCTGGTTATATTGTCTTCATTGCATTTACCTATCACTGTTTTCAAGTTGGAGCCATCATGTGATTCACCGTCTGTCACAACAACCATTACTTTTGTGGCTTCTGGACGTCCTCCCGATTCAGGTGAGAAGGCATATTGTCTGTTATAAAACATACATGTCAGTCTATAATGGATGGAATTCAGTACATATACTGTAATGAATATGTCCATCACTGGTTTAGAACAAGGTGCTTCTGTAGTGGATTTTTCTTTGTGAATTAACAATCTGCAATAAGAATTTTCAGTTATGCTCCTGATAACTTCTTCACAAACAACTGCTCAAAGAGCCCTAAGAAATGTACAAAGGATTAGAAGATAAAAATAGTAGGACTGGAAGAACTGGATAGTAATTCTGATAGAAATGTAAATTCCCTGAAAACCAAATTTTTTTTTTGTACAAATATTTCTAAACAAAAAGTGGATTTTGTTAGAACTACTTAAGTTTTATGACACCAGAAACTGGCATCACCAAGTTCAGAAAAAAGTGGAGGAGAAGTAATTATAGGCTCCTCAATATACTGCAAATATTTACTCCATTGATGGCTGAGTCTGCTCTTAAAAAAAAATTTCAAGGCCATTTGATTCAGCATGCATTTTGGTCTAGAGTTCTGTCCTTGATTCAGCTTAAAAACAGCATCTTCCTGTTGAGAAACAGACCTGGTTTGTATATGTATTCAGAGTCATAGAATATTGTTTTAAGCTTTTCCTACTTTTCATGCTGCTGGTGCTGCACTGACAAACGGACAACAGAGAAGAGGTTTTATTTTCTCTGCAATCAACCAAAGCCTGACCTACAAACACCAATCTCACAGGCCCAACTGAAACCCTGGATAAACTTTTACTTCTTTCAATGGTTTTGTATCTTTCCTAAAACCTTGTCCACTGTGTTTGATGCGCTGTCATGTTTAAACACGTGTGACAGAAAAAGCAACTCTGCTGGGTACCAGAATTACGTTAGTGTAATGTTTAACCCAATGTTTAACAACATGCTTTTCAGCAAGTCTAGTTTACATATTCCTGTACCATTCTGCAATGGCCAGGATTCTGCCTGCCACTGGGAACCTACTCAGAGGCCCTGAGCAAATTGTCTCCTGGTGGGAATGAAATTCGGGATGTTCTCCTTGCTGTTTAAGGTAAGTTACAATAGTTGCACAGTAATCATCAATGTGTCCCACCTTGCATTGTCAATGGCTTTGAAAGTATTAGTGAGATCTCCTCCCTTCTGAGATGTTCTCTCCATTGCTTTAACAACCTCATCCTTTGTTTGATACGTATTCAAGTTGAAGACTACACGGGGATCATTAGCATACTGAATTAAACCCACCTATGCAATAAAAAAATTATGTCAGATTATCATGAATTACAATTAGTTACATAGAACCATGATGCTTACTTATATCAGGTTGGAATTAAAGCCCTGCAGATGCACATGAGGTTATTGTTTTCTTTCAACACCAATTAATATTAACATGTGGAAAACAAAGAAAACTAAAATGCTCTTGCACCTTATATCATTTATTATGGACTACAATATCCTAATGAAAAAATACGAAACAGCAGACATTAAATGTTTGCTTGGTTACTTCTGAAAGAGCTTATGGATAGTAACAATATGAGGAGCTCTGGGAAAAATAAGAAAATAGCAAAAATTCTACAAGCTGACAGCACCTCACTCTGATCTCTTCTAAGGAAGTCCTAAAGATTGGTTACTTTGCAGCATTGCAAACCCTATTTATTTTTAATATAGGGTTTAAAAAAAAAAACAGAGAAGGTGCTAAAGGTGAGATTCATAAAGAAGGAAGCCTAGCTTTTAAGCACCTCATTTCCAAAGTAGCCCAAGGAAGAAGGCAGCCTTTGGGAGAGAGATTTCCAGTGCCCCAGTCTTTATTCCCAGAGCTGTTTATGGAAAATGGACAACTGTAAAGACAGAAGGCAATAAAATTTTCCTTACCATCACCAAATTAAAAGGAAAACAGAACTCGAAAATCAGTTAGTAACTCAGAAGGAAAAACTCCTTTTTTAAAGATGCAGCAGTTGGAAAGTAAGAGCTGTATGAAAGCCCATTAAAAACCTGTTCTACTTTAACCACGTCCCAACAGACTATATTCTAACTACTTCTACACCAAATGAATGAAAGAGATCTGATTCACGTACGTATAACCTAGATTTCTATCTCAGTTGGTTTATATTTCGAATTAAATTACTAATCCCTTTTGAAATAGGCTAGCTGTGAGATAAAATCCCCAGCACTGAATAGGATAACTGCATAATCTGCAGCTTTGGGGGAGGTACTGTAGTTACACTAAATCACATTTGGTTTCTTTTAAAATTGGTTGGTTTTGTTTTGTTTTGGGTTTTTTGGTGTTTTTCTTTTTTTTTTTTTTTGGTCTTTCTCAAATATGTCTTTGACTTACCTGGGTCTTGTTAAGGCCTATGTCTAAGCCTTGTACAAATTTTTTCAAAAATGCCCTCACTGCATCCCAGGGATAAATGCTGTTTGACTCATCACAAACCACGACCACATCTATAACAGAGGAACACCCTAAAACAAAAACAAAAAGTGGACATTAAATGCACTTGCAGTCTCAGTATACCCTTCAGCTAAATCCAAAGGTTTATTTCTTTATTTAGGTCTCACACAGGCAATACTTCAGATCAGAAGGCTTTGCCAGAATGAGGACTCAGAAGAAGTGTATGCAGGTTTGCAGCCTGGACTGGTGCAATGCCTCTGAATACAGAGGAGCAAGACCATATTCATATCCGCATTGGGTCATGATTTTTCAGTCCTTATGTATCTATCACAGGACTTTGCTTTTGGCACATACATTTTTTAAGAAATCAAAATCAACCGTCCCCAACACAACGTAGCTTAACTTAATTTGATATGGGTTTTTGGTTGGGTTTTTTTTGTTGGTTTCTTGGTGGGTTTTTTTCGTTTGTTTTTTTTTAATTTTATTTTTTTGTTTTGTTTTGTTTTAATTGATTCCGTTTTGCACACGTTGCCTTACTTTGAACAGCAGGAGAAAAGCTTCTTAGGATCTGGAAACTTGGACTGATTTCAGAACAAACTCCTGTTGCATAGTATTGTCTTCCACACTGCTGTGCCCACAAGGGACCACAAGTCTTAAAAATAACAACAACAACAAAAAAAAAGAAACTATAAAAATAACAAAGTATTTGTCTCACCGTATCTACATACAAACTCACAACAAGCAGGACTACAGGCATATAGGTACAAACCCGCAACAAGGAGGACTAGAAGCATATAGGATTAGGGGAGCCCTCTTGGGTTACCAGGCCAAATCCCTTCAGTCAGAGTAGCCGCTTTCACAGGCTTTCTCACGGGGAGGATTTCCTACCCGGGATGACCCCAGTCCCGCAGGCCGGCCGCAGTTTCCCTTCTCCCTCGCTGCCAGCCCGGGCCCTCCCGCCCGCCAGGCCGCGCTGCAGCGCCGCCCGTGGCCGCCAGGTGGCGGCAGCGCCCCGGGCACGGGGCTGGCGGTGACTCCGACAGCGCGGCCGAGAGAGAGCTCGGCCCTCACGGCTGCGCCGCAGGGGAGCCGCGTTCCTGAGGGAAACTCGCTTTGCCAAAATATTTACCAGTTAAACTACATCATCTCCAGTGGGACTGCAGCCTCACAGTGAGCGCTGCCCCCTCTTCTGCCACACTAAAAGAAATAGTTTGACCCCCGGCCTCTCACGCCCCTTGGCTACATGTTTCATTGCCTTTCGTGGAAAATAATCCCGCTTTCCTGATGAAAACCATCTCTGTAACAAGAACTGAGCTGGCCGCATGAAAACCACAGCTCTGATATCAGAAGAGTAGGTACGAAAGCACCTGGACAAAAAAAATATTAAGACAGTATTTTGTCATGAGGATGGGGAGGCAGCTGTACATGGGTATGGGGAGGGGTATATTTCCTTCTAAAAGAAAATAATATTAGGAACCCAGGAAAAAAAAAAAACCACACAAAACCAAACACCTCTACATAACCTCTGTTCAACAGTTCTGTAAGAAATGATAGCTTCTTTACATATACTCTCTGGTTGCCCTAGTCAGGAGAGTCTGGTAAACAGAGGATGTACCACCTCTATTTAGGAAGAGAAGAGAAGGATAACAGCAGTATCACCCTTTTCTCGAGAATATTGCAGGGGAGGGGGAGTGGAGTGGAAGGTAAGGTAATTAAGGTCAAAAGTAAATGGAAAATATAGTCAGACTACACTATCCTATGTATGACTAGCCTGTCACACATCCCACTATCCCAAGATATTTGACCAGACAGCAGATTTTCTAGACGAGAGAAAGGAAGTATATCTACATTATCAGATCTTGCGTTAAGTGCTCTTTTTAGCTGCCACATGAGGCATGATTAGTTTTTACTGGGAAAGACAGATTTTTGAGAGGTAAAAGGTACAAAATAAATCATCTGTATTGGTAACTACAAAGCTGGAGGAGAGCTACTGGCCTTTAAATTTCTTTTGAGATCAATCTCATTTGACCATTTTCTAATTTTCTTCTGTATTGGTGGTAAGTCAGAACTGTGATGTCACTATTGGAAGAAAAAGCAAAAATGTTCTAATAATCTTTGCTGATCTTCACTTAAAATGGGAAAAACTAATGTTCTAGCATCGTTGCAGTCAGAAATTTAAGATGTATCATTAACGCAGGGGAAAACTGCGAGATTGCATATCAAGGACTGAAGAACTTGAAAGGTGGAATATTAGAAAGGGGCACAGACTTGCCCTTCAGGACTTACATTAAGAAATATGGACATAAACTGGAAGGTCATCGAATGGAAGAGAGAGAAGCAGACAGTGGCTGATTTGCAGGGTGACCACATGCACAGAGCCAGCATGCAAAGCAAATATGCCTTAATGATGTGTGACAAGAAGCGCTTGCTGTTGAGCTGGGGAAATACTGAATACACTGTATAATGCCCTGGAAAGACTCATGTGGAATACAGATTAGATCTGGTCACTCCTGTTTGAGAGAAGTATATTTTAAAAAGCACATTTCAGCCAAAAAACTCTATGTTTGTTTAACAAAGCAAAGGACAAAGGAGAGCGATTGTGAGGTGTCAAATACAGAAGGGAGATTTTACATGCAAGTAGATGGGAGCTGTTTCTTTCAACTAAGGTGCGGCACTGCCCCAAAAACAAACAGATAGAAACTTAAATGAGAACTCCAAAAAAACGTTGTTAACCGTCAGTGAAATTCTTAAGCATGCCTCCAACAGGACCAAGCATGCCTCAGAAAAATGTAATGAGCATGTGGGAAATGACTGCCCTGTACTTAGGATACCTGTGGGAAGCATTCACATGGCATCAAACAGATGAACCAGCTACGGCACAGACTCTACAGGCTGCGTCATGCCCCAGGCAAGCAGCCCAGGGCCTGGGCAAGCAGCAAGTGGATGGAGGCTGAGAGGGGAGCAGCCACAGGAGGAAGGAGAACAGTGAGCTGGGAGGAAGAAGCCCTAAGCACAGCCCAAAGAGCCCATCACAAAGGCCAGCTGCCACAGACAGAGACCCAGAGCAAAGTCCTGGCTGGCAGCAGTGTGCAAGTATGAGCAGGCATTCTACCCATGTAGCCCCAATACTTGCCACAATTGTGGGCTTCTGATACATGTTGAGGCTGAGTCACAGATAAGCACCTGTCCTCAGTATCCCATTCTCCATATGTCAAAAAGAACTCCTGTTGCCAAAGACATGGCTGTTCATGTCTTACCAGTCAATCTTTTTTTTCATTTTTCCTTCATGCAATTTAAGGACGGTCCATCAGTAACACATAGATCAGGAAATTATTTTTGACTGAGAGAAGTTCAAATATTATTAGCAAATAGAACCTTTCCTACATGAGACATTTTAAAACACTGCAGTTACTGATACTGATTAAAACTGGGTATTCATGGGACAGCATTAACGGTAATTAAAAGTATTATTCAAGACACAGAATAAGATTTTTTTAAATCAGTACCTTCTCAAACCAAAAATCAAGAAAAGCACTCTTGCTGTATTTTGAAGTTAGGAATAACTTTACTAACTGCAAGGGCGTTGGAATTAGGCCTGCTTTTAAGTACTTCAGTGAACTGGACTATGTGTTAATGAATATAATAAATATTTGAATACTTTTGT